AGTACATTTATCCACTTTCATTTGTTGAAAATACCTTCTGGGTCCCTGAGTTCTACTCTAACTTGACGTGTTATTGGTCATAGACAGTCAAGTGCTCGGTTAGCTTTTTAAAAAAAAATGAATTAATCCATTTTGACCGTTTCCCGTTTTCAATTTTTACCAACAATCGTTCAATATCGCTTGTGCAATCCATATGAATGAAACGCTACAACAACACATTGATTTCCTAAAATTTCTGTTCACATCTATTTGGACTGGCATAGCTACCAACCTGATGATGCGGTAAGAGGTTACACAATGCGTTGTTTTTCCAACCCGGCAGTGAGCGGTTTCGGTGCAGCAACCACTTCACTCGCTGTGGTCTCCTCACCCCGATCAGTGCTCAGATTGGTCCCAGTGGTACTAGCCGATCGCAGGTGACTGGAACCACCACTGCTAGTCAGTTCGTCTTGTAGCATCATCCCGGCATACTCGTAGTTATCCGTATATGTGGCACTCAGACGCGGTTTACTCACATCCTCACCGCGTGTGGATCGAGTCAGGACGGATTTGTTCCTGCCGATCGCATCGCGTCTAGCCGGATTCAAACCGGGACCGGAATAGCCCATTTCCGGATCGGAGTACAGATATACTTCCGAGCCACTGTCCGTGAATGTACTTGTATGACCATTCCCGTGCAAGGTTTGACCAAACGAGTTAAGTTTCGAACGAGTTGGGGAATTCTGCGTGCGAGAAAGAGACAGAGGGAGAGAGAGGGAATTTGGCAGAGCATTATTAGTTAACATAATCAATGAATTTTGAAACAGCTGTCCAGTGCTCTCTTTGTCGGTTATCACAAACATTTCAATATCGCATGTAAATGTATTCAACTTGTGGGGAATTAACGATCTCCCAAGGAGTGAAACCTACACCCAAGAACATCAAGAGTGCTTGGTGCCTCTTAACAATCGAATGGACTAGTCCAAGCTCGCTACTCTAGAATTGATTGAGCCATTCACAAATGGTGATGCCCGTTGACCGTGTAGCTCAGGGGTAAGGGTTTGAAATCCCAACCCGACTGTTCACGGTTCGAGTCCCAACAGGGACACAAAAAGTATGCACACCGCTGACGAGCCCCAAGCAGGACGAAACAGCTGTCCAGTGCTCTCTTTGTCGATTATCACAAACATTTCAATATCGCATGTAAATAAGCACGGCACATCTGTCTCAATTCGCTAAGCAAATGATCAAGTTGATTCTGATTTGTTCAAATAGTTGTTTGGCAGATTTGAAGTTTGTATGTCGATTGTGAAAAGTTCAGTAGCCTCGGTGGGATTCGAACCCACGCATGGACGCCGCCTACGCTTTGTACGCGCATGCTCTACCAGCTGAGCTACGAGGCCACACCGATGGCACTGATCTTTTCACATTCGAATTTACCCATACAAATTACA